GAGGAGGAGGTGTAAGACCAAGAACCTGCTGCAGGAGCGGAACGAAGTACGGTCGGGGCCGCGCGGCGACGTCAGAAACAGCAGGAACAGCACCAGTACCCCCAGCAGGAGCACCCACTACAGTAGCACCTCCAGCAGCACCAGAACCTCCAGCAGCAGCACCAGGAGCACTGTCAGTCGGACCGCCAGCGGCAGGCACACCGCCAACACCCTCAGCTGCACCAGCTCCAGGAGAACCCTCAGACCCAGCAGCTCCAGCACCCACAGTACGAGCACCTCCGGGACGCGCGGCAGCAGTACCCTCTGCAGCCGAAGAACCACCAGCACCAGCAGCACGCCTCCAGCGCCTGGCAAACCACTCACGCAGCTCCTGTGGGGAGAGTGGCTCCCGGCGAGACGAAGCACCCCCAGGCACAGCACCCTCAGGCTCAGCACCCCCAGGCTCAGCACCCCCAGGCTCAGCACCCCCAGGCCCAGTACCCCCAGGCTCGGCACCTCCAGGCTCAGCACCCCCAGGCTCAGCACCCCCAGACTCCGCACCCCCAGGCTCCGCACCCCCAGGCACAGCACCCCCAGGCACAGCACCCCCAGGCTCAGCACCCCCAGACTCCGCACCCCCAGGCTCCGCTCCCGCAGCAGCACCAGAGTCACCAGTGACCTCTACAGGCTTGACCGCGTCTACCTGGGACACACCTGAAGGGGCAGGACCCTGAGGGGGGAGGGGGTCTACCGGGGGGGGACCTGGTACCAAGAAGAGCGGGGGTGGGGGGAGGGACGGAGTGCGGTAGGGGAAGAGGCGGTAGTAGGGTACCGACTCGTCGAACGTGACGTCCTGGGAGGACAGAACACGTCGAGAGGTGGGGTGGTAGAACTGCCACCCAGGGGCGTCGGGGGGGAACCCCAGGAAGACGCAGGGAGCAGCGCGAGGGGACAGCTTGTCCGCAGACAAGTCGCGGACAAACGCCCGAGATCCCCAGACCCGGAACGCCGACGCATCGCCAACCTTCCCCGTCCACAGGAGGGCTGGGGAGGTCTCCGGCCTGGAGACCCTGGGGTGGAGGTTGATCTGATGCGCGGCGTACCTGACCGCAAACGGCCACAGAAAATGGGGGGCAGCCGCATGCATCATGGACGTACGGGCGACGTCCATGACCATGCCAATGCGGCGCTCAGCAATCCCATTTTGCTGCGGGGAGTCCGGAAGCGTGAAGGACTGGCGGATGCCTCGCGCACGACAGTAGGCACGCAGAAGGCCAGAGGAGAACTCTCCGCCTCTGTCCGAGTGCAGACGCAACACAGGAAAGTCGGAGCCAAAGCTCTGCCTGAGCTGAAGACGAGCTGCGCGGATCCAGTCGATCAGCACCTCAGTGACCTCACCCTTGCTGCGCAAGGGGAAGACCGTGGTGTAACGCGAGTAGTCTACAACAACGAGCAGGAAGTAGCGCTCCTGACCCTGTCCACGGACGCGGGCTGGGCCCCACACGTCCATGTGAAGCGTCTGCAACGGGGCCTCTGTCGGAGGAAACTGGGAGGAGTGAGGGGCAACACGCTGGCGCCCCTCGACACAGGGGACACAGGCAGGGCCAGGGCCCTGAGGAAGGGGAGGGAGGGATCGGGGGAGACCAGACACAAGAAGACGGGAGGCCATGCCTCTGAGCCGAAGCAGAGAGGGGTGGCCAAGGCGGTGGTGCCAGAGGAGGGTCTCGTGAGACAGACGACGACACGAACAGGGGGCAGACTCAGGACCAGACCTGGACGCTGCGGCAAACACCTGACCAGACGAAGGGACCCTACCAGACTCAGCACCTGGAGGAGAAGCAGTGGTCAGTGTGTACAGGCTCGACCCTGGCCGACGTGTAAACGTAGCCAGGTGGCGTCCCGTGCTAGCCTCCGTGCAGTGGGTCACTCGCTGACGAGCAGGAGTGAACTGGTGGACACCCGCATCCTGTAGGTCAGCACCACTCACCAGGTTCGTCGAGAACGAGGGGAGGTAGAGACCAGACAGGGTGCCAGAGGGGGCCGCAGGACACGGAAGGACCATGGAGAAGCGAGACAGGACAGGCCCCCCAGAGGGGTCAGCCAGGGACACCGCAACCGGCCGACTCAGCGGCGTGAGAGTGGTGCGGTCCCGAAAGAAGGAGCGAGACGCTCCAGAGTCAAGGGTGAAGGTGTGAGAGGCCGAAGCCGACACAGTACCTGAGAGGGCAAACTCACCAGTACCTGAGAGCACAGACGCACTGGCACCTAGAGCAGCAGCCTTACTAGCACCTGACGCAGCAGTACCAATGCCCGGGTCGGGCGGGAAACACCGGTATCAGTCATCCTCATCACTACCAGTCACAGCATACATAGCAGAAAGAATAGCATCAAAGTCAAGATCATAAATGGCTACACCAGCCCTAGACAGCTCCCCCCAGCGGGGGATCTCAGCGGCCTCCGGAAACTGCTGACGCCAGGCGTCGGTCAGGCGGCCAAAGCAGCGGCGGGCTGCGTGGGTGCCCCCACACCTCTCCCCCGCACGGTTACCGGTGCGAAGAACGTAGGGGCAGGGACCAAACGCACCACCACGCTGACGCTGCAAGTACCACTCACGGAGCTGCTGAGGGGCGGGGACGGTGCGAGAGCGCTGCTGCTGCTGCTGCTGCTGCTGCTGGCGCTGGCCACCCCCAGAGCTGCTCCGCTGGGACGAGCCACTCCGACCCCCGCCGCCACCGCCACCCCCGCCTCCACCGCCACCCCCGTCTCCACCGCCACCGCCCCCACCGGTACCCTCGCCCCCGCCTCCTCCGCCACCGCCTCCGCCGCCACCTCCGCCTCCACCGCCTCCACCAGTACCTCCACTCCCGCCACCACCTCCACCGCCACCCCCACTCCCTCCGCCACCCCCACCTCCTCCGCCTCCACTGCCCCCTCTAGCTCCACCCGCTCCCTTGCCCCCCTTGCCCTTGCCAGAGCGGCGTCTACCGCTGGGGGCAGACGCCGCACCGACCGACTCAAAACCAGCGAGGTCGGCCGCAGCGGCAGAGGCGACAGAGGGCAGCAGGGGGGAAGGAGAACACCCCTCAAAGATGGGGGTGCGAGGGTCACCCCGAGAGGCCCCTACAGCGACGATGCTCTTCTCAGCCGCTAGCAGGGATTCCTCAAGGAGGTCGACAGTGAGGGTGGTGGGACAGACAGAGAGAAACTGGTCCCTAACGACACGAAGGGACTCAGGGAGACGGGTGACGAGAAAGTAGAGAGTGATGTACATGGGAGGAGGGTTTGCGGCGCGGAACTCAGCAGGAAGGGCAGCGCGGTAGCGAGCGTCACTAGCGCGGAGGTGGGTAACGAGGTCAGCGACAGTGGGAAAGGCAGCGAGGTCAGGGAAGAGAAACGGTAGCATGAGGCGGCTCAGCGTAGCGGAGGAAGGGGAGGAGTAGCGTGTAACTACAGCGTCGTACAAGGCCTGAGCGGTCTTGCACTGACTAAAGTGGGCACGCTCGGAGGAAGGGAGGTGGCGACGCACAGCAAGACGTGCAGCAGCATCGCGTGTGGCCCACTTGGAGCGAACAGCAGGGTCAGCATCAGCAGGAGGGGCAGGGACAGCTCCAGAGACAAAGTCAAAGAGAGAAACCTCATCGATCGCATCGCACAGTAAGTACAGCTGCAGGTCCTCAATCCAGACTGGAAAGTCAATGGCGCGACCCTCAGCGTCAAAAGACAGGACACTGGGGGTGGCCATTGCAGCAGCTGATTGTCTCACCGGGCACGAAGAGTCGGGTAGCACAGCGGCTCAGCAACTCGGCAGAACAGCAGCTGCGTACGCCTCGGAGCAGCAGCAGCCACGCAGGAGCAGGAGCTCGGCTCCTCAGGTTGCCCGGGCGGCTCGGGCGGCTCGGGTTGCTGGGGCGGCGCGGGCGGCTCGGGCGGCTCGGGCGACTCGGGCGGCTCGGGCGGCTCGGGTTGCTGGGGCGGCGCGGGCGGCTCGGGCGGCTCGGGCGGCTCGGCTGTACGGGCGGCTCGTGCGGCGCGGGCGTCGCGACGGGCGGCCCGCTGGCGGCTCGCGGGCGGCTGCACAGGCGGCTCAGGGACGGCGGCGCGGGCGGCTTCGACGGGCGGCTCGCGGGCGGCTGCGACGGGCGGCTCGCGGGCGTCGGGCGCTAGGGCGCTGGGGCGACGACGGGCGGCGCTCAGGCGTCAGGGCGGGCGGCCGTAAGGGCGAAAGGGCGGGCGGCGCTCGGGCGCTAGGGCGAGCGGCGCACGGGCGCTAGGGCGGGCGGCGCTCGGGTGCTAGGGTGGGCGGCCGACAGGGCTCTAGGGCGGGCGGCCGTCAGGGCGCTAGGGCGAGTGGCGCACGGGCGCTAGGGCGGGCGGCCGTCAGGGCGCTAGGGCGAGCGGCGCACTGGCGCTAGGGCGGGCGGCCGTCAGGGCGCTAGGACGGGCGGCGCTCGGGCGCTAGGGCGGGCGGCGCTCGGGCGCTAGGGCGGGCGGCGCTCGGGCGCTAGGGCGGGCGGCCGTCAGGGCGCTAGGGCGGGCGGCCGTCAGGGCGCTAGGGCGGGCGGCGCTCGGGCGCTAGAGCGGGCGGCCGTCAGGGCACTTGGGCAGATCGAAAAAAAAAGGAAGTACGAGGGCCCGGAGCGCGCTCCGGGCAGAAAAAAAAGTTAAGCGGTAGCGGTGGTGGGCCCTACGAACAGTTCCCACAGGGGAACCTGCTCGATACCATGAGAAGAAGTGAACGAGAATGAAATGACTATGAACGAAGTGAGTACAAATAGGAAACCCTGATTGGGTTGTACCCCTTATGGGATACCCCACTATAGCCTACAGAAACAAGTAAGCTATATATTCTGACACTTCCTGGGCCGCAGCAGGCTACCTCCCAGCGAAGACCTTGAAAAAACCATCGCCGCACACATATTTCCCGGCGTCGAGGAACAGTTGGGGGCGGTGAGTGTAGCGACGCCGTCCTCATGCATCTTGTCGTCTCTCTTCACTGGTTCACACCGACATTCCTCTATTTCATGCAGGCGGAAGAGCTCGCACAAGGGCCCGAGGCGAACACGGCCGCGGTGCACTTCATCCAGACCATGCTGGATGCACGCCGCATTGCGGCCGAGGACCTCGCGGTGAAACTCGTCCGCACTCCGTGGCACCCTTAGGTCCAGGCTTCGAGGCTTTGTCGGGATCGTGACTTTCAGGCGTGGGCGAAGGACATCGAGAAGATTGACACCGAGACGATCGCCAAGCGCCGGTCGCCGATCCCGACCCAGCCAGCTGTAAGCACAAGATGAACTCCGCGTGACTTGGCGGCAAGCGTGCTTGCATCACCTGACTCCTAACCCGCTCCGCTGCTGTTCGCAGGAAGTCTCAGCCCGCCTGGACGCCGGATTTTCAGGTCGACCTTCTGAACGAGACGTTGGCCCACGAGAGGCACAAAGCGTCGCTCAAGCAGATGAAGGTGGAGAAGGAGCTCGAGGAGGCGCGTGCTGCTATCGCGGCGAGGGACGCCGAGATCTCCCGGCTCATGGAGGAGCTCAAGATCTCCGAGGCACGTAGGGCGCCAGCGCCACAGGCGCCTTCTAGGCCGACGACCCTGGAAGAGGAGGCAGCTGCGGCCGCTAAGCAAGCTCAGTTGGACGCCGACGCTCACTACGAGGCCCTGGTTGTCGACCCATGGAGAAAGGCCGAGACTGTGGCAGAGGCCTGGCGCTTCTTGAACTGCCCCACCACCACGGACCGCCGGCGTCTCTACGACAGGATCAACGAGCCAAGTTTCATCGGGCGGCACAGCCTCCTGGGAAAGTCGTCGGCCAACGCAAAACAGGGTGAGATGCGCCGAATGAGGAGGGCGATGGAGGCCGTGCGCCGCTTCCGCTCGTCAGACGGAGAGGCCGACACCGCCGCCGTCATCAAGAAACTCGACGAGCTCGCTGCGTCGGGAATTGTGACCTTCTACGATGCTCTGAAGATCATCGACGCCGACGCGCTTCCGATATGCACGGAGGGGAACCTGGGCATCAAGGGGCTTTCTGAGGGTGAAAAGCCCAAGCTGACGGTTGCTTGGGGACTGGTGGCGGCGGGATACATGACGCACAAGTGGGGCGAGGACATGTTCCCAACCACGTGGGAAGAGCAGAAAGCTGTGGCGGCCCAAGCAGCCGCGGAGCAAGTCGCTGGAAGACCGCCGCCGCTGCCGACGAAGACGTCCAAGCGTCGGAAGCCGGGCTGATTTTTTGTCGCCGCTTAGCTACTTTCTTTTAGCTCGATTGTGACTTTTGTTTCCGACTTATTGTGGATTCAATGTTCCCAACAGTTGAGAATTTGCCAAAGAACCGAAAACATGAGGGCGTTTCATGAACAGCAAATTAACCTACGTGCTAGAAACACAGCAAAAGTGCACAATAAAAGTCGGCGCCCACCAAAACCCCACAATCAATCAACAATCTTGCTACACATTGCGACGTCGGTCCAGAACACAACGACAGACACAACAACAAAACCCATCTACGCGGCGTGCTTCCCCTTCTATCCCTTCTTTCCCCTGTTATCCATATCCTTCTCCATCTGCTTGTCCAGCGGCACTTGAATGCCGCGTGCTCGGAGAAGGGGGCCGCCGGCGTTGCACGACCCCCAGAAAGCGAGGGTCTCGATAGTCGCCCTCGCGATAATCTCGGCGTCGGGTGTGGGGTCACAGCCCTTGCACGCCTTCCGAAGAGCATCCTTCTGCAGTGCGCCGGTGACGTTGCACGAGACCTCTCCCAGGACGGGTTGTCTCGCAACCGCCGTTTCTAGCACCGCAACCACGACGTCGTGACAAGTGTCAGCAAAATCGGTGCTCGCTTCACACAGCAGTGCCGCCGCCTTCGCTTTACCCGCCGCATTGCCGACCTCAGCCACGGTCTCGGCGAAGCACCAGACGGCGCAAGATGAAGCAGCGACAGCTTGGCCTATGCGCTTGGCGTCTGCACCAGTTTTGGGGACGGCATCTGCCGCGACTGGCCAAAACGCCGCGCACAAGCAAGCGCGGTTGATGATGTCGCTGAGCTGCTGCTTGCGCTTGGCCGGCTCCCAACCAGTGCCGAACCACACCGCCGGCCTCAGCACTTTCATCAGCGGGGGCCCTGATGACTTCTTCAGTTTGAAGTCGGCGAGGACTTTCTGGAACCTGTCACGCACAACGTTGGAACGTGAACGTGGTCAGTCGGCGTAAAACCCCACAGTCAAACCTATATCACGCCGCTCAAAACACATCGAGTCCCACGATTCTTACCGTGCACGAAACATGGTGGCGCCGCGGGACCACATCACCGTCCACATACCCTTCGGCATCACCTTCGCCTCCTCCCACTCCGCCTTCCACCGCGTCATTTCTTCGGCTTTAACGCCGGTCATTTCGGCCAACAGGACTTGGCTGGCGTGTCCGTCGAAGATGGTCGTCGCAACGCCGTTGAGGTACGCCACTTCCATCCTGTCGTCCGATCTCCCCGTGTAGTGAGTCTTTCCAGCCAGGTTTACCTCGCCCTGCCACCCGCCACCGCTCGTCCTGTCCAGCCTAATACCATGCCCCCTGCGATCTTTCGGAACGACGGCCTTCTGCGACGCGGCGGCTTTACCCTTCCGTTTCTTTTTTTTTTTCGCCGACTCCAGCCGCACGATCGGTCTGTCCATCCTTGTCGGCGTGTTCACCCACTGGTCCACCGGCCAGAACAATGGACGTCCCCGCCTGACCCGCCAGGTCCGCAACAGTGACGCCCGCCGACCTGTCCGAAGGCCCGGCCTGGCCGGCCTGAGTAGCCACTGTAACGGCAGTGGGCCGAGTGGACTCTCCAGCCAGACCAGCCTGGTCAGAACCAGTGACGCCGCTCGGGCCGGTCTGGAAGGCCCTATCCACCTGTATGAAGCCGGCAGGATGACTCTGAATGGGCGGAACAGCCTGGCCGGCTACACTGACGCCGGTGGATGCCAAACAGGCCGGCTGCACGGTCTGCCCGGCCTGGGTGGACATTGTAACACCGGCAGGCCGACCCTCCACGCCACTGATGCCCGACGTACCTCCCACAGACTGAAGTGCGGCTACTTCGTCTGCTTCTATCGCCGCTTGTATCAATTCCACATCCTCGTCCTCGATGATGAGAGGGATCTCCCCCGCACCATCGTCTCCTGCAACCGCGCCCCAATCACCTTGTCCAGACGCCGCGCCGACCTGGTGATGCGTTGGCACCGCCGTTGGAACCGTCTCGTTTGCCGCTTCTTGGTGTACGGGCTCCGCCAAGTTCACCGTGGTCGGCGCAGTGCGCGTGCGGTGAGTCGGCGGTTGAGCGGATTGTGCACCTGCTGAAAGCGCGTTGACCTCGGCCATCAGCATGTCCGAGACTGGGTCCGACGGCGTGGCAACAGCGGCAGGGAGCTGCATGGTCGGCGCAGCGCTGGTGACAGTAGTTGGCGGATGCGATGAAGGTGCCGCCGCTTGAAACGAGTTGACCGCGGCCAGAAGCATGGCCGCGATCGGGTCCGTGAGGGTCTGACCGGCGTTGTCTTGCCCCGTGCTTGGCGCTGCGACGGGCCCAGTTGTCGGCGGATCCGCAGATGGTGCTGCCGTGTGACGCGCGTTGACATCGGCCGAGACCGGGGATGTTGGTGCTGTACCGGCGACAGGTTGCGCCCCCCCGCGAGTTGTTGGGACAGCGGTGTTATCGATGGTGACGGGCTGCTGCTGCGATGGCGCCTGAAAAGCAAGAAGCTCCTCCATCAACGCTCTCGCCACGGGATCATCCTCCACGCCGAGGGCGCCCGTGTCCCCCCCCACGCCGACCACAGGAGCCTGGTGAGTCTGATCGCCGATTGACGGAGCCTCAACATCGAATGGCGGCCCGCGATCAACGCCTATCGCCGCTCGGCCTGCACTTCAACCGATTCAACGGCGACGTTACCACGATCGAACGGCGGTGGTGCTACCTCGCTTGCTCCAGGACGTGGAATCTCCGGACCTTTCCTTCCACCACCGTGAGTGGAAGACCCGCCGGCTCGCACACCCTCTTCGGCGGCAGTCCTGCCCTCCGAGCTGCCGCCAGCTCCGCCTCTACTTTGCGGGCCAAGGAGCCGAGTTGTCGCCCCTTTTCTCCTCAGCATGTCGAGGACGGGAGAACCGGACTGGGCACGATCTGGAACGTCGCCGCCGACTGCTCGCTCCCCACCAACACCTTTACTCCGCTTCGAATTTCCCGCGTTGTCGCCGTCGGCTGCACTTCCGCTGCCAGCCCTTTTTTCCGGCCTATGCCTTTGCGCGGTCCCCAGGTCGCCGGCTGACGGGGACGAACCACGCCGCCCCAGCCTCATTGTAGCAAGCACGTTGGGCAGAAGCGTGAAGCCGACGGTTCCCAGCGCCTGCTGCGTGACGGCGGTCACCGCCTGAACAATGTCATCCCTCATTGCTTTGATGACTTCTTCAGGCAGCGCGGGGGATGGACCGGGCGGGGGCGGCACGATGCTGCGGGATAAGCCGCCGACGATGCTGGTGGAAGTTGAGGCTAACTTGGTGTGGATGTAATCGGCCAACACCGCCTTAACGTTATCCCCCACGCTGGTCACGTGGTTCTCCAACCGCACGTCGGCATCACGGCGGGCGACGGCCAGCTTGTCCAAGCCCTTTGTGATTTCCCCCAACAACGTTGTCGCCATGCTGCTGCACGCCTTGACCAGAGCAACCCGATTGACCAGCACCTTGGTGAAGACGCCGGTCATGGCTGCTGTGGCTGTGGAGATGTGTGTCCCCGCGGTCTGCTCGGCGGCGGCGACGCGTTCGGTAAGCGACTTGACAGCCGCGAGGCACTCAGCCGCCGTCGCCAACAACCCCTCCGTCCGACACCTCTCGGTAACCAGATCCGACCGCAGCCCCGCATTCTCGTCCCTCAGTTTCATGTTCTCCTCTTCCAGTCGCTTCACGTGAGCAAGTGCGGCTGCAAACGCCGACTTTGAAGATGTGGTCGACGCAGGCTGACCATGCACCGGCGCCTTCCTACGAGGCTTGTCCCCAACCGACGCTGCAGTTGCGCCTGTCCCGCCGGTCGACATCGGGTCATAACCAACACCGTGGTCGGCGTCTGTGTCCGCCTCAGCACCAACAGCCTTCTTCCCTGCACGCTCCTCCTCCTCCTCTTCATCCTCCTCCTCCTCGGATCCCGACTCTGACTCTGAGTCAGTAGATGACTCCTCAACGGACCCTGCCCTCCGCTCCTCTCCTCCTACCAAGTCGGCCTCGCCACCGCCGCCAACATGACCGCTAGTTCTAGTGTCGTGCGCGCCGGAATACGCCGGGCGATACACGCCAGCTTGAGACGCCGTCTTAGTTTCGATTCCGTCATCGTCGAGGGGGGAGGTACTTGGCCCAGTAGGGTGATTGGACGGCGCCGACCGCCTCTCAGCAACGCATCTCTTGACGTATTCCACTAGCGCCGATTTGAGTGCCCTCAACCCTTGAACCATCGGGTTCTCAGCGCTCGCCGGTGCACGTGACTTGAGCAGGGCTCCGCGCTCTCTGACCACCCATCCGAACGCGCTCACAGCATGCAATCCGGTGCCGACCTGCTCGTTCTTCACAATGTCCAGCAATCTCTGCGTACAACCGTTGCAAGGGCAGGCTAGGTGAGCCGAGGGTGTACCAACGCAAGCACAGTTAGACGACCAATTAAAGTCGGCTACAAGGTCGACAGAAACTCACGTCGCGCATGGGCCCGTCGCAATCGGCGAGTCGAGCCACCACGACCTCCTCAGCGGGAGGCGCCCACTTCCATGTCCTGTCACTTCTTCCAAGCTCGGCCAAAACACAGCGCCGGAAAAAGTTGCAACAGCAGTGCACGAAAGAGTCAGTGGGGACGCCGTTGAGAAACCAGTAACCTGGTAAAGAGCCTTCCCAATTTAAGCATGCCTACCTCAGCACGGCGAGCGCCTCAGACGAATGTAGCCGGTTTGCAGTCTTTGGGTCCAGGTGGCGGAACGAGGTCTCGCTGTCGACGTCGATGGCCTTCAGCAAGTCGTCGGGGCGAAGAACCACGACGACGCTGCAGTGGACCCCGGGAAGCGGCCCGATCCTGCACATGAACCATGTGACGCCGATATAAAACATCGAAGTCCAACATGACGTCAACGACAACGCAACATCGCACTTTCTCACGTCGGGATTATAGGTAGCACGGCAATGTCGGCGTCGAACACCGACTCAAAACAGGTGAGGTCGTTCTTCTTAATCGCCTCGCGAAGACGGCTGCACCCTATGATCCACGGCTTCAAGTGTTAAAATAGTAGCTTGATAGGTAGGTAAAAAGTAGGACGGCCTAGGCTTAGTAGCCTAGGCCAACTAGATCGAGTAGTTTGTGCCAAGGTTTTGAGAGTCGAGTGAGTTGAAAGAGAGTTGGGAAGGAATGATGCTTCACTATAGTTTCGAAGTACATATAGCAAAGGAAACAAGTGAAGAGGTGCACCACCTACAGATTTAAATAACTACACTAACTACAGCTACAGGCAGTTACAAATATAGGTTTTGACACTCCCCCATAACTGCCTGCAGCAGGAGTATGTGCAGAATACAACCTGCAGGTGTACACATGCAAAACAATAAAAAGCAAGCAACAGCAGGTAATGCAGGCGGGCTGACACTAGGTGGTCACCCCCTCCATCTCCTCACCCTCCTCCTTCCCCTCCCCCACACTGCTGCAGGAGCAGCAGAGAAGGGGGGAAGAGAGGAGAGATGGAGGGATGGCTGCGTGTTGCCTCACACCCGCCACCCCGGTACCACTCCCCCTGCTCCCCCACACCCTCACACCCTCCCCCCCAGCGGCAGTTGCAGCGGTGGGACTGAAAGGAGGAGGAGGGGAAGGGAAAGAGTCGACCCAACACTCCAACACCCGCCACCCCCATACCCTCCTCCCCACGGCTGCAGGGAGACAAAGGAGGAGGGGGTGGGCGGGAAGAAAGCCGCGGAGCGGCTAAACGGTGTCGGCGCTGATAGGTCAGGGGCGGCTTCAGGGAGAGCAGGGGCGGAAAGGCCCGTCGCGTGCCACGGGGCGCACGACGGGTAAGTTTAAGTGAAAAGGGCCCGATCGTGTGCCTCGGGGCGCACGACGAGCAGGGCACCGTCGCGTGCCACGGGGCGCACGACGGGCAGGTTAAGGGCACCGTCGCGTGCCACGGGGCGCGCGACGGGCAGAGAAGGCGTCACACGCCAACCGGGGGCGGGACAAGGAAAAAATCGCCACGCGCCCTAGGCGCGCGACCGGAAAATCGTAGCAGCGGAAACGTGAGGCGGGCGCACAGGCCAGAACGAACGTCGCTCTGATAACATGTTAAAATAGTAGCTTGATAGGTAGGTAAAAAGTAGGACGGCCTAGGCTTAGTAGCCTAGGCCAACTAGATCGAGTAGTTTGTGCCAAGGTTTTGAGAGTCGAGTGAGTTGAAAGAGAGTTGGGAAGGAATGATGCTTCACTATAGTTTCGAAGTACATATAGCAAAGGAAACAAGTGAAGAGGTGCACCACCTACAGATTTAAATAACTACACTAACTACAGCTACAGGCAGTTACAAATATAGGTTTTGACATCAAGTCCATCGGAGCTTCGCGAATCCACATGTACCTGCAGTCAACGAACTCGTGGGGACATGTGGCATCGGTTCAGGATTGCGAACTCGTTGCCGGCGGAAGTAGATAGGATAGCGGCCTTGAACGCCGACATGGACGCGCTCACGACAAACCTAGGCGTGAAAACCTTTCGTTGACCGAAATCCTATCGACCGGTAGTAACTAATTCTGCAACGTTGAGTCGGCCTGTAGTTACTAAGTCGGCGGAACAATGAGGCTACTAGGTCGGCGGGAAAAAGAGACACGCACGCCGTCGCTTACTCGCACGCCAAATTAGTAACGCGCTCCAAATAATATCCTATAGGTCGTCGGGATAAAAAATGACCGCCGGTTCTATGCGGCGAAAATGGCCAGGGGAATTCGTCGGCTGGGCTATATCATGCTGTACTAAGTCGGCGGAACAGTGAAGTTACTAGGTCGGCGGGAAATGGACATGAACACCGTCGCAACTCGCACGCCGGATTAGTAACTCGTTCTAACGAATAACATCGTCTAGGTCGGCGGGGCGGCGGGTTAAAAAAGAGCTACTAAGTTGACGGAAAGCAAAAGTGGACAAGGGTTCCGCCTTGACTGAAGGAGGGACTCACTTGAGCGCGAGTGCGAAGCAAGGCTCGTTGAAGTCTTTTTTCGTGGCGCGCAGCACGGCGAAGTCCTTCTCGTCAAAAGAGAAGGTGAGGCCACGGCCCATGTTGAAGTACAAGGGGAAGTCCGCCGAGGACGGCGTCGGCGTTGCGGCGCCCGGCGTCGGGTGAGCGACGCCACTATCCAACTCCATGATTGCAAAGGCACGACACTACCGGCGACCAAAGGCACGACACTACAGGCTATCTAGCAGCAGCAGCAGGACGGAGGAAGGCGCAGATGTGAGAAATGTGAAAGGCGAAATGAGAAGAGCAAAATGAGGCGTCGGTCACTCCGTCCACAAAGATAAGGCACGACGGACGCAGACCAAGGCGGTGGCCAAAACCGGCCCGGAGGCCGAAGTGGCTCGGCACGATGAGCAGCAACCTCGTCCAATCGCACGCTCGTCGGACGCCGGGCCACATCGGCCCCATCACGTCCGCTCGCGTGGGTAGGCTTGGGGTCTGGTGGCATGCAGCGTCGTCCCTGGGCAGACACGTGTCCACACGCCAGCGGGTCGCGAATTGGCCGAGGGTCCCGAGGGGAGCATTAGTATTTCGCCGGGCCCTCGCCTGCCCGTAGGGGCAACGCGAGAGGGTTACTAGGTCGTCGAGGGCAGGGCCACGGCGAGGGCTGCCTTCGCCCTAGGGTTACTTCCCCTCGCGCGAGGTGGAGTGAGTTTGCCGCCCCCACCCGGTAACGTGGGGTGCTGTTCAATTACGCAGGGGGGTTGAGGGGCGGCGGGCGTGCGCTCGGCCCAGCCCTGGGCCAGTCTGGCGGGCAGGCACGCGCGGCAGTTCCCCGCCTCGGCGGTGCTGGGCCCGTCGACCTCGTCCGTCGTCCCTGGCAAACTGGGCCGCCGGAACTCTGTCGGATGAGCTATTCGGAATGATCTGCCCTGCAGCAGAGCAGCGCTGCCACGCGCGATGGCCTGGCGAAGTGTGATTGTTGGTTGGTGGGGGTGGAGTGGAGTGGATTGGCGGAGAGGGCGAGGGAGATACAGTGCGACATTGTAGCATGTAACATTGTCGCGAGCGACCAAGCGAGCAAGCGAATCTTTTTGGCACAACCAGTAGAGTAGTGTGGCCTGCAGTTGCTCGAGTTCGGTTGGGGTGGGGATTGGGGGAAAGCCGACGACTGCAAGCTGTGTGATGCCCCCTCACAGCTTCGATGTGGTCATCACGGACGGTCGAGATGCTGTCTGCCAAAGTGGTTGGGCGGATTTTGTTGAAGGTCAATGCACACTCGCCAACGGTGTCCATTGCTGAAGTGGATGTGCCCGCCCCCGTCACGGTTGCATAAAGATCACTCAGAGGTTCATACGAGCAGGAACAGTAAAGCACGGGCGAGTCCGCGGCCGCTCCCGCGTGCTCGCGGAAGCGATCTGCCCGCGGGCAAGAAAAAAAACTAAAACCCATCCAGAAGGCATGCGGCTCGGGAGCATCAACCCTAAAATCTTAGGGTTGAGGCTCCCGAACGGCATGCCGGTCGCGATGGGGAATAGTTTTTCCTGCCCCGGGCAGAAGGCTTCCGCCGGCTCCGCGTCCTGGTGGATTCGACTTCCACCAGGAGAGGGACCTGGTGGGTTTGCGCCCACCAGGGCCCGTTGGAACTCGCGAAATTTGAGGATCACCATTTCCTTGGTCATCCCTCCTCCCATGCCCTTGGGGCATTGAGGGCGCGTCAGTCATCCGAATTCATTTCTCGCTGTAACTATTGTCCGTCGCTGTAACTCGTTTTCGTCGCTGTAACTAGACTTCGTCGTTGTAACTAGAATTCGTCGCTGTAACTAGTGTTCGTCGCTGTAACAACAACATCGCGGTAGTCATACTTTGACACCGCCATTCGCATAACAGATTGCTGCAACCTTTCTCCTGCATCCACGGGCGAGCTTATCATTGGTTTAGTTGCTTATTACCGCTGCGGTCAAATCGTCGAGTGTGGTGGTGGGGCGTCGACGAGGCTGAATATCGATCTGCCACCGCGCTGTGATTTCGCCTTTCGCATCTACAACTTACGGAAACTATTCCAACCCCGTCAAAAATACTATCTCGAGGGCGATCGATCCTCCCGAGATCGGCACCCATACCACGCCCGTCCTTAGATCGGTAACCACCCCAGGACACTAGGCCCGTGGCAAACCAGCCTAATAGATCGAGATCAAAGCCGTCGAAACCAGTGTGCGTGGGATTAGTGCGACCAGGCGAGCAGCGATTAGCGCGAGCAGGCG